ACTCTGCAGAGCATGCCCAAAGCTGCCCCAACGCAAGCAGAAAAGGGTCTGAACACTCCTTCTGCATGTCCTACTCCATGAGATTAAAATAGATCTAACTAAGGCAATATCTAAGTTAACAGATACATAGAAAACAACCTACCGTGAGAAGGAGCAGCACAGGATTCTGCTCACAGCCCCCGGGTGGTAGAGGAGTCTCCAACGCCTCTGCTGCAGTCTCAGACTCTCTGGGTTTATATGCTCTCCAGGAAGAGACAGATGTTTGATTTCCCAAGAAGGCTTTAGAGTGAATTTTCCCAGGTGTTCAGAGAGCACCTCTGTTTGTCCAGAGGTTTATTGCAAGGTCATGGATGGAGTTTTAGTATTCCATAATCTCCCCCTTCCTACTTATTGAACTGTTTGGTGTTAATTTTCAGGTGTGCTGGCTTGCGTTTCTTTCCCAAATCATTCCTTCTGTCCTTGCCCTCCTGACCGATAGAAAATACTGAAGTCCTGCAAAATTCAGTGCATGCGTAAGCTCTGATCGCTCCTTGGGGCTCAGCAACTCCAGCTTAGGCTTTGCTTATTGACTGTATATATTTATTCTAAAATGTTTTGGTTTGAAAGACAGGTGTCTGTTAGGGAAGGCAGGAGCCTCCCTTGAAATGGGTAATGTAAACCGCCTCCTTGTGAATGATTTGAATTTTGAAATTAGGGCGCTCTCAGGCAAAAGACAACAGGAATAACATTTTTTTACTAGTTTGTACAACAAAGCAAACAAACAATAACAACTACAGCATTCACAACAAACAGAACCACAATCCCAGTCCCGGCCTGCTCGGCCACAGGCACCTTCCCCTTTGGTGCAGTTCCTGTCACCGCCACCAGGATTTTTTTACTAGTTTGTACAACAAAGCAAACAAACAATAACAACTACAGCATTCACAACAAACAGAACCACCATCCCAGTCCCGGCCTGCTCGGCCACAGGCACCTTCCCCTTTGGTGCAGTTCCTGTCACCGCCACCAGGGGCGCTGGTGGCTCCTGCAGGGCGGGGCAGTGCGGTGACTCCCCCGCGGCCGCAGGGGGCGCTGTGGTGCGCGCTCGGGGAGCACGTGGCAATGCCGGCTTTGTCCCAGACGGGAAGGGATGGAAGAGAGGCTTTGCTGAAAAAAACCCTGGGGCAGTCGATCTCAGTGCCCCAGCAGGAGTCTGAGGAGCACGGAGCTGGAACGGCAGGAATGAGCAGAAATCTTGGGGTGGTGGATGAGAGAATCAGAATCTCCAGGGTGGTAGATGGAACTGCGGGACGTCGAGCAGGGCAGGGCGGAGCAGGGCCCCACAGCGTAGAGAAACCCAGAGCAGTGCCAAAGAAAGCAGTGGGCGTGGGGCAGGGGTGACCCGGCTCCCAGCAGGGCAGGGAGAGGCAGGTTCAGGCTCCCAGGCACCTGAGCAGATGGTGATGGGTCCTTCTTAGCGAGGTAAGAACTAATAAGGTTTTGGTTCAGTGGCTGCTCTTACAAGCAGCCACCCTACAGAAGAAGAAGCCGAAGAAGAAGAAGCAGGAGAAGAAGAAGCAGGAAGAGGAGAAGGAGAAGATTAAGAAAAAGAAGAAAAGAAGAGAAAGAAGAAGAAGAGGAGAGGAAGAGGAGGAAAAAGAAGAGGAGGAAGAAGAACAACAAGGAGCAGCAGCTCCGAGCATCCACCTATGAAGCTGCTGAGCAAAAGAGCTACCAGCTGCCCCAGCCTTCCTTCACCTGCCTTGAAATCCAGCAGTACCTGTGTCCCTCACAGAGAAACTCCCCAGATGAGAGAAAATGCAGCCAGATGCCTTCATAACCCCTGGGTTTAGCCACTTCTTTGTTTTCTCAAGTAGCCATAAGTGCCCAGTAGTCAGTGTTTCTTAGCAACTTATGGGAAAAGTTCTATAGGTAAGAAGGAACAAAGGAAGAGAAATCTAACCCCCAACACAAAGCTCAGGAAAGACTCTGAATATTGGAGTCAGTGGTGAGGAAGGAGCAAGAGCTGACTTTGAAGCAGAGTCTCAGAAGAGGCAGCTGAACTGTTCCTTCTCTCTTCTCCCTGGAGAAAGGACCTGAAAGGACTTGTTTGAATCCTCAGGAGTGCCACTGCAATATATACCCAGTCATAAATTTGCTCTTCTTATAAACAGGGAATTCCACAGGAAAGAGAAGTTTTCTATTTTCTTTAGGGGAGTTTGTTCATACTGTGAGAAATGCTGCCACCTTTCAAAATTTTAAAAGGTTGATTAAAACCATATCAAAATTTACAACAGAAGACTGAATAGAGAAAATTAAACAGAGCACCAAGAACAAAGTACTACCCACCATCTGCTCATCCACAAAATGGGGGTTCCACCTTTTAACCCTCTGGCCCCTCCCAAAGTTCTGTCCATCAACTCCTTCGCTGTCAAGTGGTAGAGGTTACTTCCTGACATCTTGACTGGAAGTCAGGTGTTGCCACAGTAACAAGTGGACCCTCCCAAACGCCCCAGCTTCCCCAGCCATCCCATGAGATCAATGAAAAAAGGGGAAAACATATCTATAAAAATTCTCTTACCATATAAATAGTATTTAGCCTTTAATTGTGAGAGTCAACTATTTCCATACTAATCACATTACTCACTCTGAAATGTGTTGAAGTTATTTGTCATAATTTCCTGCTAATTCCTCCCAAATTTGCTGCCTTGCAGCATGTCAGGGTCAGCTAACAGGGTCTGGTGGCTGCCTTGATCATTTCATCAATCCCACCAACTGCAGCTGCTGCTGCTCCAGCACCTACATGTGTTCCTGTTCCCAACACAACATCTCTGGTGACATTGGATGGACTGGCCTGGCTCTGAGTGCACTCACATATTCACAGTCTGCTCTTCTGCAGCCTCCCATAACATCATTCCTGTGGCCAGGCTACAAATATTCTCTTGCCTGATTGCCATGGCTGTGTAACAGCTTCATCCCAGGTGCCTGGGAAGGAGAAGGCTCTGGGGATACCTCAGAGCACTGGCCAGTACTGTAGGAGTCTACAGGAGACTGGACTCTGCACAGGACATTTGTGCCCCGCTACTCTGCTCTGCTGAGACCCCACCTGCAGTGCTGCCTCCAGCTCTGGGGCCCACAGCACAAGAAGGATACAAAGCTGTTGCAGTGGAGTCCAGTGGAGGCCATGAAGGTGCTCCGAGGGCTGGAGCGTGTCTGCTTTGGAGAGAGGATGAGAGAGCTGGGGATGTTCAGCCTGGAGAAGACTGCTGAGAGTGCAGTGCCTCAAGGATCTCTAAGATCTTTGTGTTAGAGCAGGCTGGAGAGGGTCTTTGGACAAGGGTATGGAGTGACATTGCAAGAGTAAATGGTTTCACACTGATGTAAAGTGAGGTTAGATGGGATATTATAAAGAAGAAATTACCATGAGCATGCTGTGGTATGAGTAAAAGTTACCCAGAGATGTTTTGACTGGCCCATCCCTGGAAGGGTTCAAGACCAGGCTGGGGAGGGCTTGGAACAACCTGGTGTACTGGATGGTGTCACTGCCCATGGTAGGCAGATGTGAATCAGATGATGATTAAGGCTTTAAGGTCCCATCAAAACCAACCCATTCTGTGATTCTGTGATTCTATGACATGTGGGAAAAGCCACCAAGCCTTTTCCATTGAGGATGTGAGGCTTATTTCCGGGGACAGGCATTGTTGAACAGAGTAACCGTTCCCCCGTAGAGATCGGTCAACCTCTTCTCCAGCTCCCCCAGGCTGAGCTCCTCCACCTTATTCTTGTCATTCTCAGCGATGGCCCCCCAAGCATCTTTGGGCACTTCATCCACCAGACAGCAGGCAGCTGACCAGATGTGGCTGGGTCTGTTAACCCTCCCTTCGGATACGTAGGTGTTCCCAGGCACAGCACCCGTGATCACGTAGGTGGCTGTACAGCCCTTGGTCTTTTTGATCATTGTTTTATGCTCGTAGACCCTCCACTCACCATCATTGAGACTCTTATCCTGTGGCACTATGTTGGTGAGGGTGAAGGTAGCCATTTTACTCACTGAATCATCCATATGGCCAGTGGGAGTCAAATGGCCGTGCACCAAATCCTTCAATCCTCTGTAGTCATCAAGGACAGCCTGGCTCTTTTTGATATCCTGTAAGGTGATCTTGTATTGTTTTATGAGGAATGACTCTGTTTCCATCTCTTTAAGATTTAGATTTTCATCTATGAGCTGGACAAGGAAAGAGAAAGAGGTCTTAGAACGGGGAATTGGAATAAAGAAGGAGATTTCCCTGGAGCAGAAGTCTCTGATGGTCAAGATCCTATTTTTTGTCATCTTAGTGTAGGAAAATATATGAATCAGAGAGGAATCATACACATGTCCCTCCTGCATGAATGCAAGAGCGTTAAAGAGAAAGCAGCTCAGAATGTGACTGCTCTCAGTTTGAGTTGTGAGCTTTGTGATCCAGCCTGCAGCCTGTGCTGGGAGCATGGATGGATGCACGAGACAAGGAGCATTTCCACTCCTAGGATGGAATGGTGGCTTGGGTGAGACACCTCCCCTGTCAAATCTGCTTCCCTTTCCTCCTGCCTCCACAGCCCAAATCTGCCCAGGGCTCTCCCTGGATCCACTCACACCATGCTGTGATTGTGTGATTCTAGGATTCTGTGATTTTATGTGTTGTTGCTACAGATGTACCCCAGTCATGGAATACCAGAGGTTGCCTCCTGTAACCCCATACAGAGGGAGATGTGTCAGGAAATCAGTCCTGGAGCTAAGGTTTCCCTGGGAGGGCTGCAGTTTATTCAAGGTTGAACAGTTTTGCTCGGTAAGCAAAAGGATCTCCATGTGAATGAAATGTGTTAGAGCAGTGCTGAGAATGTGTCTCAGAGGTGATGTGGGCCAGGGAGAATTATTGGCAGCATCAGTGAAAAGAAGTTACAAATGAGATCAGCCTCTGAGAGGGGCCTGTAACCTCAAAAGAGTCCTGGGGAAACTAAATACGCCGAAAAGGCCACAGGAGAAAACCAACAAAATCAAAGGTTGTTTGGGTGGCGAGGGTCCAAGGTGCAGGAGGGAAATGCCAGGTTGGATAGGGCTTGGAGCAGGCTGGACTCATGGCAAATGGCATGGCCCATGCAGTGGAGTTGGATTCAGATGGTCTTTAAGGTTCCTTTCAACACGGACCATTCAAGGATTCTCCAAAAAGAGAGAATGTGGAGGCTGCAGTGGAGCAATGCCAGAGTAGTTGTTCTAGTTCTTATGCAAAACAAGATGAAAAGATGTTTTTTGCATAACTTAAACACAATTTGGTTCATCTTTAGACAAATATATTTAGCCTTCTTCTGGAGTAGCACACATGGCTTCCTCCTCTGGCTCACCTTCCCCCAAATGCCATCCTGCTACGCTGTCCTTTGCAATGAAAGGAATTGCCTCTATTTCTCTTCTGCAATTGGCCTGGTCTGTTCTACTGAAGTTTGTCTGAAGGACATTGGTGAGGGCTCTAGAGCTTGTGGAGTTCTGTCTGTCTGCTGGATCCTTGAGGACCAAGCCTGAGCCAAAGGTGCTCAGGGGTCTCTGCCCATGGATGGAGATCCCACCCTTCTGACTGAACCAACACTGATGCTCCTCATTTTGCACTGCCTGAAATGTCACTCCAGAAATCCCTCCACAATTAACCTGTTCCTCTCATCTCCAGTGCCTTTTTCACTGAGGCTTTGTCCCTGGGCCACCTCACCCCCTTCTGAGTTTCCTTTCACTTCTGTCACACCACTCACAAAGGCTGTTTGACTCTTCACTGGGAGCAGATAAGCTCTGCCAGGAATGCAGACCAGCTCAGGGCCAAGTGGGGATCAGATGCCAGCAGGACTGTTGTTCCCTCAAGTTTAGCCTCTCCTGGATGCCTTTTCCCCATCACTTGGTCACTCGGCACAGCAGGGCCCAGGGAGGGGAAGCATTTGACTTTGTCATGTCATGCAAAGGAATCTGGTTTGCTGTTCCTGTCAGGTGAAGGCAGAAAGCTGGGCACCCTTGGGATGTGATTCATC